CAGTGACAGAATGAGATATATCTTCTCATCGTTACGCTTAACCGGGATGGTGATGTTGTGCCTAGATTCACCGCGATACTTACTGGTGTCCTAAGAAGAAATACCAGATCTAAGGTAACCATCCAAAGTATCGGAATACTACAGCCCTGTAGAAAAGGAAACAAAACAGTAAATTGCGGTAAATTAATTTTCACAAACAATGGGGTTACCTGAATATGAGTACAAGTTTTTAATCTATGCTGTGGTATACTTAACAGATCGATCCCATATACTCTGCGTCTGTTCTGTAATAGCTTAGAGATGACGTCAAAATGTGGTGAAAACCTAAAAGTGGCTCAGCCGAGTGTGTCATTGATGATCTTACCACATTTTGACGTCCTCTGTGGCGGAAAACGCCAGACCCTCCCTCTCAGGGAGTTTTACCCAGAATGTTTGGTCAGATTTTGGCTCAAAGAGTTTACGAAATCACGAACATCAACATCTGCAGTTCATTGTCTTCAAGATAGCTTTTCCGAGACTTCTCATCATCAAGAAGAGTAACCTTACTCGTGAAAGAAACTTTCATCATGTTGGCTGTGGATCCTCTTTTAAACTGAACTGGTTCTCCGAAATTTAGTTGTTTAGTTAAGTGGACTTCACCTTTAGTTACCACGCCATTGCTCTTATTACGAACCGACGAATCAGCATATGACATGTCCAAGTCAATGTCGGATGTCATATTTCTGATATCCGACCGATTGAATCTGTTTCTGATCAAAAGTTTGTCATTTTCCGCTGTTTGCTACTCCGTGCATTTTCACAATACCAGGAAACATGGAAGATTTTTCAGGTTTTGGCTCGCAATTTGGGTCTGGTTTCGCTCCGTCTACACGTTCGTAAAGGTTGCGCTCAACAGTTGGGAGAAGCTGTGCAAATAAGGCTCGGGCATAACTAGTTAACTCCTCGTCGGACTCATAAAAATTCCGCTCAACAGTTGAGAGAAGCTGTGTAAGTATGGCTCGGGCATAACGAGTTAACTCCTCGTCGGACTTTCGGTTTCCGTATAATTCAAAGGACTCGTCTGCATTGGTAAATTTTGCCGTTTTCTTTACATCACACCTGTTGAAAAAACAGTCAGACCCAGGAAAAACATTCCAATGAGCAATTAGCGTTAAAACGTGTTCAAGAAGGTCCATTTCAGGTTCCCAATCAATTTTCAGACGAGTTAAAATTATGGAATATAAATATGGCCAGAAAAAAAACTAAAGGGAAGAGATAGGAAATTGGGAACTTCATGTTATATAAGAGTATAGCTACTTATCCTGCTAACTCCAGAGGACTCAAAAGCCAACTGTTGATAGAAATTAGAAACAAAGATTGCAGCATTTGAAGGGGTTCTTAAGAAAACTTGTCCACTGTTCTCTAACTGAGCTGAAACTTACCCGAGATCTCTACGTGAAAATTAAGAACTGATATCCGAATCTTAAATGATGTTAGTTACGATGTATAAAAGGCTTTTACAAAAAAGGGAATCAGAAAAAGGATGCTTATTTTAAACAAAGCGTTTGATATTGCAATACGACCCGCCGTTGGTCAGAAGGTGAAGTTGATTCCTTTCAAAAACAATTGTGATGAATGTTGTTATGAACACAAGTTCTTCATCTGAAGACATATCATGTTTCTCTCTATATGATTGTCTTCTTTTTATTTCATGCTCTCCAGGGTCACCTAGCTTACCTGCCCCGAGCAAGTCAAATGATTTAGCCCAGAAACGAAATTAAACAAAAATGAGAGTCGACTATGATATTTATGCAAAAAACATTATCCGACTGACTTATCATGCCTAATTACTCTTTGGTAATCCCGACGTGACGTACAAGATAAACTTTTGCCAAGTCAGGTCAAGTTTTCAGGACTTTATGTTATTACTTACCTCGAAGTGCGCTCAACCCTAACCAGAAAATATAACGATCTTCCTCGGGTCACGTTACCGTTTTTTCCAAGTTTTCTCCTTCAGCATTAATGCTGATGATCCTAAAAATGAACCAATACTCTTCTGAAGTCTTGTTTATTACTTGAGGGGCAACGATGGTACTTAGCTAGTGTCCCTGAAAAATGATTAAATGTGTTATTATAAAACCTTGAAATAAACCAGACCAAATTGAAGTATAAAAAAAATTGGCCAGAAAACAATCTTCGTTCAGTTTAATAAATAGAGGGGGTAAGTTTCTGAAGAAACTGTGGTACTGCGTCGGTGGGAGAGTATATCAGGTAATTTAGTGTTGACAACTGAGTTGAAAACGTAAATTGGCCACCGTAAAGAGTTAAAAGGCTGACGCTTTGAGCGTTAATCCTTCGTCAGAGCGATCGCTTTGAACGGCTCACGTGGTATTCAAGAGGAGCGTAGGAGGAATAAGTCACCAACAGAGTAAAAAATGGGGGGGGGGGGGGAGGGAAGGGCTATAGGAAATTGACTGCCAATTAACTGTCAACAAGGGAGGGAGTCAAAAAAATATTAGAGAGCTTGTGGGGGGGGAGGGTCTGGTAAAAGTTATTGTCACACAACTTAAATCCCCCTGAAATTTGAAGATGAGCAGCAAAATGCTGCCGTGAATTCAGGTCCAGGCTAACTGTTAAAGGTATACTGGTTGTAGCGTACTGACGATTAATTGAGTTTTAAAAAAAATCATTAAGTCCAAATATTTGAATGGTTGAAGCGCCTAAACAACGATATAATTCACTGGACCATCCATATGCTAATTACTGAAAATATATCACGCGAATTCTAATGTCGTGATTATCCGCGCAGTAACAAATCCGCCGCTTCAAAGATAAAACAAACGATGCATAGGAAAGACAGAGTAAAGGAAGACTTGAGGCAATCGCGTTCTATTTTCACACGGCCTGATATATTGATATTTGCATGTGCAGTGCCAAATTCTATTCTTTCCCTGCCGGGGATTTGATGTACCTACGATTCGATTCGATTCATTTTCATGCAGCTTTGACATTTATTTATAAATGATTTCCATTTTAATCGCCTACCTGTAAAGTTTCTTACTGAAAAAATTCCACCGCTCCTATCTTGTAAATTGCAAAATTTGTCTGGAACCGAACAAAATGCATTCTATGACTGAATATATGAAAATTATCTATTCTTTTCAGGCCCTATTTTCACTACTGCTTAATTGTCATCTTAAACAGATTTTTTATCGTCTCGTTCACTTAGCGATGAAGCGGGGCATCATAAAAGCGCAACTAATGTTTAATTAGTAACGAGATCAAATACTATGACCCTTTTTGAAGTATTCTTGTTCATCCGCTATGGCTTAATATTTTGTGTTTTCGTCGTGACTGATAGTGCGATATTTTTGGGTTTTGTGCGGGACGTCTATTTTCTTCCTCTTCCTCCTAAATGGAGCTGAAGCAAAGAGAGCAAACGCGACGTTGATCAGCGAGCACGGAAGCAAATGCACATGAACGGTTACATACCGGGAGAATTAGTCTGTAGTGAACTGGATTTCGTTCCTAAGCTTTTGTAACAACCAGGTTTCTTTTTCAACTATATCACGAGAATCATAGAGCTTTTCTTTTACGATTGCCATTGCAGAAATTTATAAAGTAGTCTTCCAATTAGCCAGTTTATCATTCGCAGATCAAAATTAAAAGCCTCTGCAGTGGCGGTAAATTGGCGGCGTGTTAATCAGCAAGCACGGATTCAAAACAAACATACTTGATTATAGAGTTGTAACCGAAATTTAGTTTTGATGCCAAATTTAGTCTACGCGGCTACGTGTTCAAAATGTGCTTTTGGCTTTAGCAAAGTGTGGAGTTTACTCTCACCTATAACCTCCTGAAAGTAGTTGAGGACGCGCACAGAGTGTAGGAGGAACTCGCAGAATGTTTCCGCACTCTTTCAAACTGCCTGAAGTCAACCACCGAAAAACAAACAAATAACTTGATAAAACGCAGACTGTTTGCCACAAACAAATAGCTCGGGGGTATTGGATACCAATATCCTATCCGCAAGTTATTTGTTTATGGCAATATAATTTCTTATTACGGTCCCCGAAAATGATTTCGAAATTATGCTTTTGGATGATATTAATCTAGAGTGGAGGGGGACAGGAGGGTAGTGAAATTAGATACCTGTCGAAGTCGATTGCGTGATAGGTCATGAATGAATTTGTCTGTGTTCGTGTCTCGCGAGCTGAAACAGTCGAAAATTTCCAGCAAACAAAGCGCGTTCTGCACGATCTGCACGGTGTGCGCGGTCTGAAGTCTGCGTTTCAGCAAGTTATTTGTTTGTTTTTCGGTTGGTCGACTTCAGGTAGTTTGACAGAATGCGGAAACATTCTGCGAGTTCCTCAAACACTCCGCGCGCGTCCTCAACTACTTTCAGCAGGTTATAGGTAAGAGTAAACTCCACACTTTGCTGAAGCCAAAAGCACATCTTGAACACGTAGTCACGTAGACTAAATCTGACATCAAAACTAAAATTCAGTTACAACTCTATGATCAAGTATATTTGCTTTGAACCCGTGCTTGCTGATTTACACGCCGTCTATTTACTGCCACTTCAGAGGCTTTCAATTTTGTTTTACGAATGATAAACTAGTCAATTGTAAGACTACTTTATAAATTTCTGCAATGGCAATCGTAAAAGAAAAGCTCCATGATTCTCGTGATATAGTTGAAAAAGAAACCTGGTTGTTACAAAAGCTTGCGAACGAAATCCAGTGCACCACAGACTAATTCTCTCGGTATGTAACCGTTCATGTGCATTTGCTTCCGTGTCCGCTGATCAACGTCATGTTTGCCCTCTTTGCTTCAGCTCCATTTAGGAGGAAGAGGAAGAGAAGAGACATCCTGCACTAAACCTTAAAATATCGCACTATCAGTCGAGGCGAAAACACAAAAGATTAAGCCATACCGGATGAACAAGAATACTTCAAAAAGGGTCATGCAATACACTGAACCTTCAGAAAGGACGGAGCGGTCGTACAACTTCAACCTCAATCATGGATGGTTTTCCAGAGAAAAAGGAACACCACAGGGACAAAGTAACTCTAGTGAACGATTATGTTGAAGATGATTCTGAAGGAGGGAAACCTTCTTCAAGAAAACGAACCATTATGCGGACCACCCTCATCTTTGTGGCTATGTCACTCGTGGTTTGTGGAGCCATACTCACAGCAACGTTGTTGACTCGGAAAGAGCAAGTTACTGAGCGTTTAGTGGAAGTCAACTTGGAACCAGGTGAAACTCTGTTGTATCAAGTTGAGCAAGTCCTTGAAGTACGGAGCGGAGAGCTTCAGAAAGGTATTTGATGTCTTTGATCTCGTTACTAATTAAACATTAGGTGCCCTCTTGAACTGCCTTTCATCACTAACTAAAAGATACGAATTTTCTATTTTAAATCTGCCTTTTCGGTCGCATGGGCAATGACACTAGGCAACAATGGGTTTTTTAGGTCTCAGACACATTCTGTAATTTACAAGATTAAGAACAGCGGAAATGCACTCCTAAAACATTTAAGTCGGCGATCAAAATGGAAATCATTTTAAAAAATTGGGAAAGCTACACTAGAATGAATCAAACCACGACGAATATAAATCAAATCTCAGGTTAAGTAATCTAATTCAGGCCGTACAAAGATATAGAATGCGGGGTTTACATAGCCTTGCGATCACCTCACAAATTTAATAGAATCAGCACGAGCAGTTTCGTCATCATTTCGGTTGATCATTCGTAACGCTACCCAATTTAGCTCCAGAGTTTCAGTTATTGGAAAGTACTCTTCCATTTCTTCTCAATTGAGATTTGGGAAGGTAGCTTTTCTCTTTCTAGTCTTTGATATGTCAGTTTGTGAGGCATTTGAATAATTGAAAGGCACTTAAATATCCACCAATGGCCACTGATGCGGTGTTTTACTTTCAAAATATCAACCCGGAGGTTTTGCAATTTACCTTTATACTTCCGGTTTTTTACTATGCAAGATCAGCTTCCTTCGGAGAATGAATTTGCTGTTAAGATGTTGAAGTTGCATATTCACCAAGCTTGATTTCTTGCTTCCTCTCCAATCTCAGGAAAACAAACAATCAGTCGATTAAACTCAACAAGGATTGTTTACCAGCCAAAGTGATTTATTTTAAGTTAGTCTTGTAGATTTCAATGTTCTGTAACAGCAAATTGAATCATTTTTCAGGGACACTAAGTACCATCGTTGCACTTCAAGTGATAAACAAGACTTCAGAAGAGTATTGGTTCGTTTTTAAGATCGTCAGCATTAATGCTGAAGGAGAAAACTTGGAAAAAATCGGTAACGTGACCCGAGGAAGATCGTTATATTTTCTGGTTAGGGTTGAGCGCACTTCAAGGTAAGTAATAACATATAGTCCTGAAAACTTGACCTTGACTCGGCAAAAGTTTATCTTGTACGTCACGTCGGGATTACCAAAGAGTAATTGGACGTGATAAGTCAGCCGGATAATGTTTTTTGCATATAAATATCATAATCGACTTTCACTTTTGTTTAAGTTCGTTTCTGGACTAAATAATTTAACTTGCTCGGAGCAGGTAAGCTAGGTGACTCTGGAGAGCATAAAATAAAAATAAGACAATCATATTGAGAGCAACATGATTTGCCATCAGATGAAGAACTTGTGTTCATAAAAACATTTACCACAATTATTTTTGAAAGGAATGAGGGTCGTATTGCAATATTAAACGCTTTGTCTAAAATAACTATTCTGATTTTCTTTATTTTAAGCCTTTTATACATCGTAACCAAAATAATTTAAGATTCGGATATCAGTTCTTAATTTTCACTTAGAGATCTCGGGTAAGTTTCAGCTCAATTAGAGATTATAATAAAGCTCAGATATAACGCGCGCTGTCATTGGTTGAAAGAGCGTGCTCTATGAGAGTATAGAGCATAGAACTGAGCTAGAGTTGTCATGCCATCCGCCAATTGTACTATGTTCGACCGTTTCCGGGACTTCTTTTTAGCTTTTTTCCGATAATTGAAAGTGAAATTTCGGAACTGAAGCGAGCCGGCAAGTAGCAACAAAAGAATAAAACAAAGGTTTGTAAACATACCAGGCGACGTAATTTACGCTAATAAAACGTGAGCAGATGCGAAAATCCTCAAAGGAAAAACAAAATAAACATTCCGAGTTTTAAAGATTTTCACGCTCAGTTAGATTGCAAGCTCGCGTACGGTAATAAAATTCAAACACAGCTAAAACTCGTATAGTATATAAAGCTCAGTGTTCAAAAACAAAACAGAAGTGATGAAAAATATAACCAAACTGCCATAATTGTTAAAATTCATACTAATCATGACGGTGTCTGAGCGAATATGATCATGCTGAAGTTCATCGCGGCTCGCTCATCATGGCGATCTCCGGTCATCACAGTAAGACAAGCCTCAGAAACTGCATCGGCCGCCCTTCGAGTGAAAAAATAAGAGCTTGCTCTGATATCCTTTCCGATACGTTGAGTGGATAGTCACATCAGTCACTGCAGCCGAGTTTTGCGGCGCTGTCATCACGAGCGATCTTCATGTTCCGGTGAGTTCGGCTGTCGTTCATTCAAAAAACACTCGCCTTGAACAGTTTGTTTTCTACCTTGTTATGTGAAAAAACTCGCGTGTTTTTATGAGCCATAATTCGGCTGAGGTTCACTAAACATTTCACTTCAAGATTCCGTATCAGAGACTTCAGGCAAAAGTGTTAAATTCGACTTGCCGAACTATTTTAGTTTGTAAACTATCGTAGAATGTGAACTTTGATGGTTTGACACTTTTGACAGCTTTAGTCTTGTACAGCTAGTCAGATTATTTGAACCATTCTAACAGGGATTCTGATTGGCTTATTGTAGCGTGCTTTATGAGAGTATAGAGCATGCTGACGACACTGTTGTTCGCCTTGGAAATAAAGTTTATTTTGAAAATTGAAAGTAATGCTGGGGTAATTTAACGGATTCTTTTTTAAAACCTTTTATACATCGTAACCGACTGTGCTCTGTTTAAGATGTTGGATAAAGCACTACGTCTCGTGTTTCAATTTCCACTTCTTTCGTGATCTCGCCGCTTCAGTTGCTTTATAACAGAACAGAGCACAGTCAAGGCTTCTCTATTTGTTAAACAGTGGACGAACATTTCACACGAACTCCTTCCGATGCTGCAATTTTTGTTGACTTTTGAGTCCTCTGGAGTTAGCAGAATAAGTAGCTATACTCTTATATAACATGAAGTTACCCATTCCCCATCCCTTCATTTTACTTTTTCGTTGGTCACATTCATATCCCATAGTTTTAACTCGTCTGAAAATTGATTAGAAGCCTGAAATGTCACTTCTTGAACACGGTATCATGCTAGTTGCCAATTAGGATGTTTTCAATAGGTCTGACTGTTTTTTCAACAGGTCTGAGGAAAAGAAAACGTCAAAATTCACCAAAGCAGACGAGTCCTTTGAATTATACGGAAACCCAGAGTCCGACGTAGAGTTAACTCGTTATGCCCGAGCCATACTTACACAGCTTCTCCCAACTGTTGAGCGCAACCTTTACGAACGTGTAGACGGAGAGAAACCAGACCCAAATTCCGAGCCAAAACCTGAAAAATCTTCCATGTTTCCCGGTATTGTGAAGATGCACAGAGAAGCAAACACATCGGAAAATGACGAACTTTTTATTAAAAACAAATTCAATCGGTCGGATGTCACCAATATGACATCTGACATCGACTTGGACATGTCATATGCTGATTCATCCGTTCTTAATAAGAGCAACGGCGTGGTAACAAAAGGTGAAGTCCACTTAACTGAACAACTAAATTTCGGAGAGCCAGTTCAGTTTAAGAAAGGATCCACAGCCAACATGATGAACGTTTTTTTCACGAGTAAGGTTACTCTTCTTGATGATGAGGAATCTCGGAATAGCTATCTTGAAGACAAGGAATTACCAGATGTTGATGTTCGTGATTTCGTCAAACTCATTGAGCCAAAATCTGACCAAACATTCAGGGTGAAAACCTCTGAGAGAGAGGCTCTGAACGAGCCTTCCGCTGATTCAAACGAAATGAACAGCACGTCCGCTGACGAAAATGAGCGAGAGACAAACTTGACAACAGCATCGCACGACTCGAGACATCGAAATCGCAGACAAAACGTTGTTCAAAAGTTCCTTACTGCTCCCCGACAAAGAACGTTCACACTCTTTGAGAAAAAAATTATTGGCATAAATATGAAAGTGGAAAGTACTGTTCGAATTGAATCAATTAAAAAGGTATTCAACCTGAAGCTTGACAAGACCGAGTTGTCTTTGGCTCTGAAGGTGGGATCCACAAAAGCGTCACTTCTCCGAGAATTCATTGATACCGCTACGAAAAAAACATGGAAGATAGACGGACCTACATCAAAGTTGTAAGTGCTTGAATTAAAAGATTGCTCTTAGATCGGGCCTCCATTTCGGCAAGTTTTTCTAGGGAGCTAACTGACAGTTTTGCGAAAAACAAGGTCGATGAAAACACTGCATGGAAGAAAGTAAATCGTACAAGTGACTTGTGTGCCTTTTTTACGTGTTTTATAAATAAGTTTCACTTATTTCATTGTAGGCTGTAATGACTGCTTTTAAACAAGTCTACGACAAAATAGAACCCTTTTGCCTCACATACGATTGCGACAAAATATTGTCATCAATGACAGCATCTATGCGTTTGTTTTCTGAAAGATCATGGATAAATGAGAATTTGATTCGTATTTTCTTATGATCTTTTGTAGGACAGACGCAATCACCGAATAACAACATGTCACTTCTTTATAACATAAAACAACACAGATTCCATGTTGCTGTGGGTGTTTACAGTAACAGACCACAGAGGACGTCAAAATGTGGAAAGATCATCAGTGACACACTCGGCTGCGCCTCTTCTACTAGGTCCTTACCACATTTCGACGTCATATCTTATCTATCACAGAACAGACTTACAGCACATGGAATTTGTCTGTTAAGTATAACACAGCATAAGTTAAAAAATTTGTATTCATTTTCAGGTAGCCCGATTGTTTGCGAAAACGCAAACTGACTGTTTTTTTCTTTTTCTACAGGGCTTTAGTCTTTCGATACTTGGTGTGGTCACACTACATCTGGAATATTCTATTGGGGCAAAAGCTAGTCTCGCAGTGAACCGAGGCACACCATCACCATCCTGGTTAGGCGTAACGGTAAGTAGATATATCTCATTTTGTCACTGTTACTATCACACAACAGCAATCAACTGTCTCTATTTTTATACACGCTTGCCTTCAACTGCCACTATCCTTGACTTTGTCACTGACTGCCATCTTTTTCTTTCAATGTTAGTATTCAGTACTTTTCACTTTATTCAGAATATCCTATGAGTGTCTCTGATTGTAACTGTCTCTGTCACTGTCCTCGTCTCTACTACGACCTTGTCTGAGCACTGACTACATTGCACGCATCAGACGTGCACAAAGACGAAAACAACATGAAAAGTGCTCTTCATGACCACCGAAAAAGATATACGCGCTTCAAAGTTTGTTGCTTAGGAAGTCAGGATAAAAGCAAAATTAAAAAGTCGAAGTTCCAATTTTTCATCGAAGCCGTTTTGTTTCTCCGCTGTTTATTCGTATTTTTGACATTTTCTACAGCGTATCAATGTTGTGTTTTTTCTCGTTTCGTTGCCCTATAAAATGGCCTACTAGTGGAATAACAAACCATTATTTCTGTCAGCGATGACCTCGATGATGAACAAGACGAATTAGGGATAAAAGAGTTCACGAAATCATACAAATAGATAAAAGAAATAGAAAAAAATAAGCTCTTACAAGTTTATTAATTGTTATTTTAGGTCACACCCTCCCTATCAGTAACAACTTCTTTGCATGGATCTGTAGCCGTAGTGATTATAAAGGCTGGGGTGGACGGGAACGGAGACTTGATACACGGAAGTCTTCCAGTCAGCGTGTCGTATGATGAAAATCGTCCTTCCTACAGGGATACTTGCGTGGATGTTTCAGCTGATTTACGGCTCCTTGACCTGGGAGCCCGTGTCTTCTACCAATGGAGAAAATGTTGGTTGGACTGGTGGAGGCTTAGATGCAAGTGGGGTTCTCGACGCACCTTGTTCAGTTTTGGCCGAAGCTCTGCCTTCAGTTTGAGGCGAAATATAAGAAATGAATGTTACTGATTATACTTTCCAAGGCGGTTCGAGTGTTGTGAACTGCTAAGTTTTTAGAGAACTTTTCAATCGAGTGTCGAAAATAATCCGAGAATGCATTGTTTTGCTTTACTCTGCTCTGTAATTGGTCCAGAAAGCTCTGCCACTCCCTCAACCGATCAGATGCATAATTTACACCAATCACGACTTAGCCGCACTTTAGGCAGGTTGCTGATTTTTAATTTGAGTTTCATAGGCTCTTCAGGGTATTTTTATTTCTTCTGATTGGCTTTTGTAAATATTCAGTTGTTTTGGTTTTACGACACTCAGTCGAAAGGTGCTCTAATAAGAGTTAGTATCTCCCGGTGTTTTTTCAAAGGTGTCTTTTTTTTGGGATTTGATTAAACTAAAAATCGAGCTACCTTAGATTGGAAAGGGTATGCCTGGATTCTATTTATGGTTTCCATTCCAAGATTGTAGTTGTAAGTTCATTATTTCTTAGATCATTTCTACGCGAGATCGAAGCAGTTTTTTTTCACCATTATGCAGCAGAATATGCAGTAACAGTGTCAGCGATCGGCAAATCCAAACGTATCAACAATTTAGGTATCTAAGTTGTCAATGATTGTACATAGTTCTGGTACCACTCTGTTGCCAAGCGGTAGGAATAAAAAATATGAAGCTTATGTCGTCACAGGTCACTTGCATCAACCAATGCTTGTCGACCGGTGATTGATGGCTCTTCATCAGATTAGTTGGATTAATAGAGATCTCAGTTGTTTTCGTAACTATTCGTCTCAACATTGAGATGATTTATATACTCAGTACTTCTCAAAATTGATTAAAAAGCTTAGCAAACTTAATAAATAATTTAACATAGGCAGAAAAAAAAAGAAAATATCCCACCGTTTTGGAAATTGGTTAGCATAACTGTAAAAGTTCCAATCATACCATGGACAACAAATAACCAGAGTATTTAGTGTGCAAGAACAATAAACTACTGTTAAAACGCAAGCCTTGCATTGATAACTTAACGTTTTGCGATATTGTAACTAAAAATTAATGTCACAGTGGGAACCTTACACAGTGTGCATTTTGTTCCAGATCTTCTTGAACATCTCTATCATCGTATAAGTCAAGGGGAGGGGGAGGTGGGTTGAATTGTGATCATGATAAAACGAAGATTGCAGACTGCAGACCGCGCAGACCGTGCAGACTGTGCAATTATTTTGTTTGTTTTTTTTTTAAACTGTGATTCTACTTATAATTACTTCTTTGGACACTGAAATTTTGCAAGGCTATTTGGAGAAAGCTAATCTTCGATTCTATCGCAATGCATGCTCAGTGTGTGTGAAAGGAAAATTAATAGGACAATGTCCAAGTGACCAGCAGACGGGACTCGAGGTTTCATCAATATTTTTTTATTTGACCAAAAATCGAAAATATAGAACAAAATGTGTTACTCTTGGTTTTGCGTTTATCGCTCTTTAGAGCTTGGACGGTCTGACGGAATAACTTGGTACGGTTGAAAGGTCGACGTCGGCTACGATAAATTCCCATCACATAGAAAATAAACGGCAAATTTTAAGTGCACTCCTCTTTAGTTTCTCTTTAGTTCGTAAATGTATTATTTAATTAAGAAACGAGGCAAAACGCTATTCTTAGACTAATGTTGTCTAAAGTCATTGAAGTTTGCATTTGACACACATCAGAAACTCTCCTACATCATTGCAGAATGTTGCGCCGGAAAGTGATCGAAGGTTTTTTCTTTTATTTGGAGCCGAATTGGAAGCGTTTAGTTTCGTTCTATACTGTAGAAGCGAAATGAAATGCTTTAATCTGGCTCAGAATTTAGTTGTACTAGTTTAAACAAAATTCTGGAGAAACGTGTAAAGAAGGCATGCAACGCATGACGCACCAAAAATATAGCGGTATTCAAAAAGGCATTTGTTTGTTGTTTATTACTGCTTATTATTCAGTCAAAAATCAGTTCCCAGAAGAGATTTTTGACTTCCATTTAACGTCCACCTAGGCATAACATAAAATTTCTTAAGCGAGAAAACGTAATTTTTTTCTCAAGCTGAAAAAAACCGCGTAATACTGGTGAAATTGGATGCCTATCGAAGTTGATTGCGTGTTAGGTCATGAATGAATTTGTCAGTGTCTCGCGAGCTGAAACAGTAGAAAATTTCTAGCGACAAAGCGCGGTCTGCAGAGTCTGCGTTTTAGCAAGTTATTTGTTTGTTTTTTCGGCTGGTTGAAATCAGACAGTCTGCACGGTCTGTAGTCTGCGTCTTAACAAATGATGACCGCCTATCGATGGCAGCGTCGAAGGAAAACCAATTCCTGCCTTCACATTCGGGTTTGAAGTCTCCACCCATAGCAACCATGGCGAGGTCTCAAGAACAGACCATGATGCAAACGTTTATCAACTGTCAAGTTCCTTTCATCGTTGGCCGCTCGAAGTGCCTAGCTAATAATTGACTCTGAAATTAGTACGTACAATGTAACTTAGGTCTAAATTGAAAGTTTTGTAACATGAGATATGTAGTTTTTATCCTATGAATTAATTAAGACTATTATTATTATTATTATTATTATTGTTATTATTATTGTTATTGTTATTATTGTTATGACCAGATCAATATCTCATGTCATATTGACGACGTCAGAGCCATTAACTTGATTTTTGATTTTTGATCTTGGGAGCGCCAGCTTCCCTCGCGTTTGCTTCTCTGTTCATCCTCACAGAACCAGAAAACAAGGAGGATTCTTTAGGTTTTGGCTCAGAATCTTGATCTGGTTTCTCTCTGTCCACACGTTCGTAAAGTTTGCAAAAGCTCGGTAAGTATGGCTTGGGCATAACGAGTTTTGACCCTCAAAATACCCCAGATATGCAACCCCATTCGTGTAAATACCGAAAATGCAACCCCGTAATAGTCCATCCAGTCGTGAAAATGCGACCCCATCCGGCCACATCCCCTTTAATGTAGTGACGACTCTGATTTTTCGTGCCTATTTTTCGTGTAACCCAATGTATAACTGCTTACTTCGATGTTGAATGTTATTGGTATATCTTCGTTCGGTTATCTGTGACCGTTAATGGTGATCCGTAAAATCGTGCCTCTTTTTCGTGTAACCCAATTTTTGATTAACTATTCAGGTAGATTTATTTAAAGAAACATACTTAGACCTACAACAATACCTTTTGCTGTTGACTGCAATAGGTGCCATTCTTTGATAAATTTGTTTTACCTCTTCCATTGGCTTAAAGATTTTTGTAATATTTTAAAAGGGGATAGAATTTGGCAGTGCACATACATCAAAAATTAATGTGACCATAAAACTGCTTTTGTGGTGGTAACAAAGTTGTTTTTTCATTACAGGATTATCTGAGTTATGAAAATATTGTTACATATGTTTTAAAAGAGCCCTGTGGATGAATATTTTGTTTTTGTAAAGATGTCACCATTTGCTGACTTGTTTTTTTTTTTTTCTGTGAAGTCTTGGTCATCTTACTTGTGATAAATTTTGCTTAGAAGTGCCTATGACACGAATTTTTTTTTGTGTGTGTGTGTGTGTAAATATTCAGCTTATCGTATGTACAAACCAATTCCGATAGCAAAAGTCCGAGTCAATGTCAGATGCCATATTGGTGACATCCGACCGATTAAATTTGTTTTTAATAAAAAATTCGTCGTTTTCTGATAAGTTTGCTTCTCTGTGCATCTTCACAATACCGGGAAGTCCACACTTTTGAATGATGTAAGCGCCTAAACGCCTATATAATTCCTTAAACCATTCATATGCAAATGACTGAAAATATAGCAGGCTAATTCTAATGCCGTGATTAGCCACGCAATAACGAATCTGCCGCTCATTTATCGCACGATAAAATTGAATTAAAAAAGTGGATATCATGTCCTCTAGGTATGGTGGCCCGTAGAGGACACGCTAGCCTCTTTTTAATTAAATTTTATCGCGCGGTAAATAGGATTTATCGCGCGATGAAATCAAAATATCGCGGGATTAATGAAAAATATTGCGCGATAAATGGGAAACTTGTTAGGTCGCACGTGATCGGCTGTCACGCACGTTGTTTCTGTGGACGAGACGACAATGGCTGCAACAGTTGAGGAGGTATGTTCTGAGGTCAATGGTTCGTTTTATTTTCGTGAAAAGATCATTGAGCAGTACTTTGCAATACTACTTCGACACATAGCTCTGTGAATCAGTACAGTAAACCTTGATTTTGCAAAATCTTACGAAACACTTTCGGAGATGGCTGTCAACTTCCTAGAACAATTGTAGATTATCTAACCCTTCTGATTACATTGCAGGTTTGTAAATTTCTCGACGTCACTTCTGCATCGCCAACCCCGTTAAGGAAAACTTTCCAACTGTTGTGGCCGTTGTCGTCTCGTCCACGGACACAAAGTGCTTGACAGCCGATTACGTGCGACCTAACAAGTTTCCCATTTATCATTTATGGCGCGATAATTTTTCATTTACTGCGCGATAATTTCCATATATCGCGCGATAATTTTTCATTTATCGCGCGATATTTTGATTTCATAGCGCGATAAAATTGAACTTTAAAAGTGGATAGCGTGTCCTCCGTGGAAAACCTATGGACCACCATAGACATTTGCTTGTGCAGTGTCGAATTTTACTCTTTCCCAAGGATTTAATTTACTTACGACTCGGTTTGATTCATTTTCGTGCAGCTTTGACACTTTTTAAATAATGGTTCGTTTTCTTGAAGCAGTTTCCCTTCTTCAAAATCATCTTTACCATAATCGTTCACTTGAGTTACCTTGTCCTTGTGGTATTCATTTTTCTCTGGAAAACCATCCATGATCGAGGTTGAAGCTTCGTCCTTTCTGAAGTTTTAGTGTAATGCATGACCCTTTTTGAGCTATAATTAAAACATTAAACACTATTCAGGGGGAACCGCAGGGGGTGGTCGCGTTCTCTTTTTGCACGGCCCCACATGGCAACTTTCCAACAGTCGCATAGTTCATGCAGGA